TCGTAACAGTAATTCATTTGGGCACTGAGGGCGATTCGTCAGGCGGTACATGCGCTCCAGCCCTGGAATTTACAACTTCTCACAGTTTAACCTTTCTCCTAATAATTACGAATAATACTCGTCCAGACATCTGGCGGAGTTCCTGGAGTGCGCTCGAGATGCATCTGCCTGCTAGTCGCATTCCCGGCACAACCGCGTACAGCCGTAACATTCGCTACCTTAGTGCTTAGCTGCATAGTTATTACCGATCGAGTTGACATTTGGCTTCTTACACTTTCTTGATTGCCATTCACTCGACAAGCTAATACACTCGTTTTCTCTGATTCGTTCAGAATTTTGTAATTCAGAGGAATTGCAATTTGTGCGGTGCGTCTGAAATCGCTTTGAGAATGCTCAGATTTTTAGCTGGCTCAACTAACTCCATCTTTGTAAGTGACAGAAATTTTCTGGCTCAGTTTTGAACTAAGTTTCAAAAATAACTAAAAACAAACCAATCCAAAAATTCAAGCGGTCAATGGCAAATCCATTCTCGTAGTGGAGCATATCGTTGTCGAAACTCAACGTTGTGTTGAATCGTTGCATTATTACCTGGAACACAATGAATCAGTATCTCTTGCTAGAAATCCGGTATTTTGAATGACTTTGTTACGTCTTCCAGAATTTATGGCGTAGCATTTTAATTAAATTTTTGAGAGGGACGGAACCATGCATAATTTAAAGATTTCACATTTTCTTTCAAGAGTCTGATGTGAGATGCAGGGATACTTAGGAGTTGTTTTTGCGTTTGTTGGGTCGCATATGGGCGTGGAATGTTCTCGTAAAAGTTCCGGATTCTCTGGTTGGTAATTTAAAAACGGGAAAAAATCCGTACACACGCACACATACACATATACACTAACAATCTCTCGTCAGTATTTGTTTCTGCATTCATCAATGATGCAAAAACGCATAGAAACCGATTGGCCTTTGCATTTTTTTGATATTAGCACTTTTTTAATCTTTATGTTTCAACAGTGACGGAACTTTTATAAAGAATGTATTCGCTTCAACAGAATGGTATTCAGAACTCGAATGAAGCTGAAGTTTGTTTGAAGATGATGGGGTTTGGTTTTGCTGAAATTAATTTATAATAAGTTTATATCTGTGTCGCAAAGAATTGACAGAACTAAAGCAAGAAAAATAAATGGCAACGCGCACCAGGCTAGCCGGTGCGATCACACGTTTTGTGCAATTCAGCCCATCGAACGATTGCCTGTTAATGATTTTCACTTCCTTGTACTTTAGT